TCTCTCTCTCTCTCTCTCTCTCTCTCAAAAAAATTAAATAAATGGAAAACCATCTCATGTTCAAAATAAATAAAAAATATTGAATATATAAAAAGCCGTGGCTCAGAATAAATTTCTTAGAAAGGAAATAGTCCTGGAGATTGCTGGGCTATCAACTCATTCCTCTGAATATTGATAATTACAAGAAAAAAATTTAAAATTCATCCTGCCTTTTTTTTTTTAATAAATGATCTTTTTTTTTAAAGAGAGAGAGTTGGTCACTTGAACCAGATAAGGAAATGAGGAGTTGGGAGATATTGTTTCAGTTATATATTGTTTAAAAAGCATTCTAAATCTTAGTGGTTTTAAAAAGAACATGGATGTCTGCATGGAAAAGAATGAAGACCCTAAATAAAATATATTGCATGAGCTGGGTGTGCTGGCACACACCTGAAATCCCAGTAGCTCGGGAGGCTAAGGTAGGAAGATCTTGAGTTCAAAGCTAGCCTCACCAATTTAGTTAGGCCCTAAGCAACTCAGTGAGACCCTTTCTTTAAATAAAATACAAAAAGGACTGGGGATGGCTTAGTGGTTAAGCGCCTCTGGGTTCAATCCCTGGTACAAAAAAATATATATATAGCATGATTATTTACATTAAGTTTAAAATTAGGGGTGTAGCTTAGTGGTAAAGCACTTGCTTGCCTAGCATGCACAAGGCCTGGGTTGGATCCCCATCATTGCAAATAAATACATAAATAAATCCATGAGTCCACACTCATATAAACATGTGATTGAGCAAATTACTACATAGGAGGAGAAGAGGCAAATCTCCCCAGAAGAAGAAAATGTATTTACCTATTCCTCCCTGCAGAAAGTAGCACTCTACATCCTCCTTCCTATCCTGAGTGTGGTGATTTGCTTCCAAAGATTAGTGTGGAAGGATAAGAGGAAGTAAGTTTACAATGAAACCTAGCAAACAGCTCAAAAAGATGATCAAGGGTAGCATAATCAGTGACAAGTTGTTTGATAGCATATACCATTGATTTGATGTGATGAGAATGGCCAGTTACCTCTGTAGACATTCTTCTTAAAGCCCGTAGCCTCAGTCTAACCATGAGGTAAAATATTGGACAAACCCAAATTGAGATTCATTCTTCTAAAAAAGTACTTTTCAAAATCAAGGGAAAAGGATGGGGATGTGGCTCAGCGGTAGAGCACTTGCCTTGCATCTGCGAGGCACTGGGTTCCATCCCTAGAAGATGAGGGCAGAGATTTGAATAAATGCTGGGAGCCTGGAACAGAAAACTGGTGAAATCCAAATAAAGTGTGGAGTTAATAGTGATGCACCAAACTTTCCATAGATGTGACCTACATACTATAGTAATTGAATAATTAAGACTTTCACAATAGGGAAATTAGATGCGGAGTACTCAGGAGCTCTATGAATCATCTTTACAACTTTTCTACAAATCTAAAACTGTTCTAAAATTAAAACGTGTTTGTTTTTTAACGGGGAACTGCAATAGCGACTCTTAGGGTTGTTGTGAGAAATTAATGCAATAGTCTAGACCAAAAGAAAGCTCCGTGCCTGGCACATGATTTGATGTAAAATGAGAGTCAAAAGATTTAACACTGGTATTTTAGGCAAGATAAGCAAAGGGGATCTGGGGTTGTGGCTCAGTGATGGAGGTCTTGCCTAGCATGTGTGAGGCCCTGGGTTCGATTCTCAGCACTGCATATAAATAAATTTTTAAAAATCCATTGACAACTAAAAATATTTTTTTAAAATAAGCAAACAAATTTTTAAAAAATTTAAAAATAAGCAAAGGAGAATCTGGCACAGCTGCTTTCGCTTCTACTTGGCACACTCGCAAGAGATGTGAGCTAGCGCGCGCCCGCCCCGCCGGGGGCGGGGCGAGAAGGGAACGCCGGCGTGGGGCGGGGCCATCCGCAGTTCCCACGCTGGCGTTGCAGGCGCGGTTGGACGCAGCCCCCGGAAGTAATGTGTACCCGGACGCCGTAGGGCGGAAGCTGCGGATGGCGGGAGGCACAGGCGGGGCGGGGACGCTGTTCCTGTTGCTAGACGACGCGAACTAGCCCTCGTCACTTCCTCAGCCCGCGGTCTGCCCACTCCCCTGGCCGGAACAAGGGGGCCCGGAACTGCGGTGGGCTCAGAGTTGACCTCGGAGGTCCAGGACAGCGGCCAGCCCGGCGGCGGGAGTCGGGGCCACGCCACCTGCAGGGAAGAACCCGAGCCGAGGAGGGAAGATGGCTGCAGACAAGGCTGCAGGTGAGGCATCGGCGCCGGGTGCTGTGAGGCAGCGGGACGCGCGGCGGTGTGCAGATCCTGCGCGCGGAGTCGGCGGCGCCCGGGGAGGGGACTAGGGGTGGGGATTCCAGGACGACTAGACTTGGGGGCGTGCATTTCTTTCCTCCAACCTCTGCCTCGCGGTGGCTTACGTGAGTCTTTGGGCCCCAGGTCCAATAGTTTTCTACTCTAGCGAAGCGTGAAACCCCCTACTGACCGCCTCTGCCCTGGGTCTCCAAAATAACTCTGACCTAAATGACGTAAATTTATTTTGCCGCTTCAGACTTTTCGACTTCCCAATGAGAATGGCAGACGAAGGATTTCGTCCCGGTGTACACAGGTGCATTTATGTCACCTGGGCTGTTTCAGCCACTTGAGCGATATCCTGTGGAACTAATAGTGAAAACCACTGTTTTAAATAGGCATGATGTTTCAGTGTCTGTGCTGATACCTTCTGCTCAGGATCTGTTTTTCTCCAGTTCCTCAAAGATTAATTACATAATCTCGATTTTGTTGGTGAATTATTTTCCCCGTCTTAGAATCTTCCTCAGTAAGGATTATAAAACTTTTTTCCAGGCAACTTTTACAAAAGTCAGGCACATGTTCCCTGCAAGAAATTAATAGTCTCTGTGGCATCGGAGTTTTATTGGAAGGAGTTTAAGCGACAGAACTTAAAAGTGGTCACCACACTTTTTTTATTTTTTATTTTTTTAGTTGTAGATGGACACAGTACCTTTATTTTATTTATTTTTGTGTGATGCTGAGGCTCGAACCCAGTGCTTCACACGTGCTAGGCGAGCGCTCTACCATTGAGCCATAACCCCAGCCTTCACCACACTTTTTTACAGTGCTGTTTAATTTAAGAAAAGAAAAAAATCTCCCTGCATACTATGGCTCATGCACAGTAATTCCAGTTACTTGGGAGACTAGAGCAGGAGGATAGCAAATTTGAGGCCAGCGTCTGCAATTTAATGAGACCCTTTCTTAAAATAAAAAACAAAAAAAATTAAAACCTAGCCATGTAGCTCAGTGGTAGAGCATCCAGATTCAGTCCACAGTACTGCAAAAGGGAAAAAGAAATCTAAATGGCTGTAGATTTTAGTGGGTCCTTACCTCAACAACTGACAAATGAACTTTGATTTGAAATACAAGTCATCTGACCCTAATACAGGAACAGATGATAGGTCTCCATAGCTGGTGTCCTATCTCAGTGGTAGAGCATGCACAAGATCCTGAGTTCAATTCCCAGCACCACTACCACTACCCCCCCCCCCGAAAATTTAGAGAATCTCTTCATTAATCTGCTAAAAAGAAAACAGGAAAACGATTTAAAAAGTGAGGATAGTAGCATGAGCTATAGAATTTTAGATAGGTTGGTCAGAAAAGGCCTGAGGAAATGATAATTGAGCAGAATGAAGAAGCCAGCCATATCGAATAGGGAGAGATAAATGGGGAGGAAAGTTACAGAGAGGCGTGTCCAAGATTGGACAAGGGGACCAACATCCTCCTTTTTAGTTTAGGACCATACCTCTGTTCCCCAAGTTTACCATTCCTACCTGCCCATCCCATTGCACTTACTTGACCAGACTCATCCTTTTAGACCTACAACCCATCCACTTTTCAAGTCCTTCCTCAATTTAAAAGCCTTCTGTTGGTGAATTCATTCATAAATAATGTAGGCACTGCCTTAGGTGTTGAAGAAATGGATGTAACGCAGTACCTGCTTTTGAAAACCTGCTCTTTATTCTGTTAGAGACAGACCTATCATATTTACATTTACATTTGGTGAGAGTGTAAATCTATATATTTGAAAATAAGGTCCTTTGTGATTGGGGGACTATTTCTTTTACAGTTTTAAGTTTATAGGCCACATAATAACAAACCGTTCTGTAGATAGTAAAGTTGAATTTGTATAAAGTAGATGAATGTTTAGTGTCATTCCATTAAATCTCTGCTCCTTTCCATCTCCATTTCACCTGGTGTGGTTGTAGACTTTATCTCTTAATGTGGTGTTTCTCATTAAGTAGCCTTCTGATTGGTTCTTGTCTTTTCTTATTGAATCCATTCTCTTTGTTGCTGCACTCTATTTTTTTTCCCCAAAACAATCTTGGATGATGGCATTTCCCTGCCTGTAAATGTTCTAAGATTATCCCACCTTTTAGGCATTAAATCCTTAATCTTTAATGTGGTAATGTGGTTTATGAGCTTCTTTAGAGTCTCTTTCTAGCAGCTTTTTTTTTTTTAAACTCATCAAGCTCTTCACACCAGACTGACTTTCTTATGAAGTGTTCTGTTCTTTTGAGCTTCTGAACTGTAGTAACCTTCTTCTCCATTTGGTGAACACTTTCCTCATTCAGAGTCTGCTTTACATGCTGCTTCCTCTTTGAGTTCCTGAGATGAGGGTCCTTGTCATGGAGGGTCTTGTTCATTAGGTAACAAAAGAGGGCCATGAAAGGATTTAAGAAGGTAAGTGACCAAGGTGCTAGGAACTTAGTATAGATCATTTGCCTAGCATATGTAAAGCCCTGAGTTTTATTCTCAGCACCACAAAAAATTTTTAAAAATAAGAAAAAGGTAAGTGACTGGATCACACTGTGTGTAGTAGAAGATGAATTTAAGTAAAGCAAGACTGAAAATGCAGGACCACCTGAGACCAGCTAATATTATTGTATTCAGCCTTCTTTGCAAGCTACTACTTTAGGCACTGGGCAGGAAACAAGACAAAGTCTATATCTTAATGGGGTTTATTAAGTAGTATGAAAGAAAAACGTAACTGAAAATATGGCTGCCCAAATTTAGACTTTCAGTTTCCAAAACTGAGCTAATTAAACCTCTTTTCTTTACAAAGTATCCAGCCTCAGGTATTTTGTTTTAGCAATGGAAAATGGGCTAATAAAAAGATAGAAGATAACTGAGAGCAAGGACCTCGTTTTTTAGATGGATTGATTAGAGAAGGGCTCTCTAGAGGTGATATTTTGAAGAGAGACTGTAATGATAAAGAACTATGTGGGGGGCTGGGGATGTGGCTCAAGCAGTAGCGCGCTCGCCTGGCATGGGTGCGGCCCGGGTTCGATCCTTAGCACCACATACAAACAAAGACGTTGTGTCCGCTGAGAACTAAAAAAAATAAATATTAAAATTCTCTCTCTCTCACTCTCTCTTTTTTTAAAAAAAAGAACTATGTGGGGTAGAAGGAGCAAGAAATATACAACACTCTTGATTGGAAAATGTTTTAAAGAACAGCAGGAAGATCTCTTGAATAGAATCTCCCTGAGGAACTTTTCCATGTGTAGCATGAGAATGATAATAATGCCTACCTTACAGAACTGGTAAAAGGTTAAATAAGATCATTTCAGGCACTAATATTTTTTTTAGAGAATTTTTTAATATTTATTTTTCAGTTTTTGGCGGACACAACATCTTTGTATGTGGTGCTGAGGATCGAACCTGGGCCGCACGCATGCCAGGCAAGCGCGCTACTGCTTGAGCCACATCCCCAGCCCAGGCACTAATATTTTTAAATGCTGACTAATATTACTTTAGGGTCATGGTAGGATGGACAAAGGCAAATGTGGAAAATGAAGTTTAGAGTAAAATTAGCAGACTTTGGTACAGTAGACGAACAGAAAGCTGTGCTCCTTGGGAAGGGGTCTTAGGTGAGTAACTCAGCATCTTCATTTGTGAAATGGGAATCCTAATAGCCTTAACTTCAAAAGATTGTAACTTGTGAGGATCAACTGATGAAAGGTGTGTATTTCAGCCCATGTCCTCTTGGAGGCAGAACCCAATTTTTTTTTTTTTTTAAGATGCAAATCCAGAGTACTGAAAGTAAGGGAGAGAAGTAAGGTGAAGGGTGATGCAGGTCATTTGCATGTGGTATTTTTCTGGAAAGTTTTTTGAGGAGAAACTTCAGTGCATAGAAGAGAGAAAGGAGAGATGATTTACTTATCCAGCTTCCTCCTGTTTCTTTTTCCCACTTAGTTAAAACTCATCCCAGTTCACCCTTTCTGGGTTGTATGGCTTCTTGGAGCTGGATTAGCCAGCAAATCCTACACCCAGAGTTATATTTCAGCCAAGTTCTAAAGGGAGAGGTGACCCAAAGTAGAGAGGCACCAACCAAAGACAAAGAGTGAAAGAGGCAGTATAAGGTTCACATTTATTTTCCTGTATAACATAGAAGAGTGGAGTGAAACCAATATCATTTTGTTGACTAACAAAATACCAACAAACTTGTAGGATGACTTGTTTGACTTTACTTTTTATGGTTATTTGAAAGGAGGAAGTAGCTGGAGCTGGGACACAAAATCCTAGGTTTTAAGTTGCCAGAGAATTTGGACTATTAGGATGGCTTAATAAGAAAAGGTTGGGGCTATAGAAGATAGTTTCTTTGATTGTATGTTATTTCTCTGTGCTATGTAGAAGTCAGCCATTTATATGTGGGGTTTTGATAAGTTGTTTCTTCTTCAGGTTATAGAAACCACATGTGAGCCAGGTGCAGTGTCACACACTTGTCATCCAGGCTACTCCAGGGGGTTGAGGGTGCTGAGGTAGGAGAATTGCAAGTTTGAAACCAGCCTGGGCAACTTAGACCCTGTGTCAAAATTTTAAAAAAGGGCTGGGGATACAACTCAGTTGTAAAGCACTCTTGGGTTCAGTCCCCAGTACAAAAAAAAAAAAAGGAATAATGAAAGAAACCACATATGAGGTATGTTAATCTCAGGTGTCTTAACCTTAACCTATATGGGGACTTTAATGAGCCTGAATTATTTTTATTACTATTTTGGAAAGGAATGTTTCACAAAAAGTATTATCAGTATTGTGTGGCAATAGCAGTTGATTCCTTAGGTCTTTTCACATTTCCTTTTTTCTTTGGAAAATCTTTTCTTCAACATCTGGGGCCATAGTTTGACTGCATAGGTTATAGTCATCCTCCAATCAAATTTGAATTGTTAACATTCTGTATTGGAATGTACCTGTGCTTTCAGTTAACTGACTTTCTCAGTTTTGAAAAAGTGGTGCATTTCTTGTCTACGTTGTTGAAACCTAGAGGCAACTAACTCTTTGGTTAGAAATGAAGTCTATTGGCTTAAAGAGTGTCAAGGTTTGTGGGTCGAAGAGCTCTGCACACCTAGAAGGTCAGCCATGTTTGTTAAGCCAGAGTAGAAGGAAAGTGAAGCTTATGGATGAACGGTCATATACACTTTCAATTGGTAATGGAGACTACTTTTGGACAAATAAAGACACATTGTGGAATTATGTGCAGACTCTATCTGGTAAGAAGTCAGCAGTTATAAATAGTGGGTGTTTTAAAACATTTGAAAAACTGATTACCAAAGTTAATACCCATTTCTTACAGAAAACTTGAAATGTGTACAAACATAATAAGGAAAAAAATCTTACTGAAGTGTATTTTTTAAAATTTTTATCCTGAAGTAAAAGAATGTAGGTAAAATAATGATTAGTTTACATGTAAAAGGTTATTTATCTACAAGTCCCATTTTTATTTACATTTCTTAGTTCTCTGAAATGTAAATAAAAATGGGACTTGAGTCTCTTATCAGCCTTAGAGTCCAGCTTGTTTGTATTGAAATTGGCTTCTTTCTTTTCTTGGAGAATTTTAGGAGACTTTTACATTTCCTAGGGGATAATGAGAGCTGTAGTTAGTTGTGCCACTCTGCTTTAAGTAGAAGTCTAAAATCTTCAATTCCTTAGCAAATTGTTGGGTATGTTTCCCTTTGATCTCTGTTTCTAAGTCAATCTAATAATTGGGCCCAGAAATCCCATTAAAGAATGAGGTCTAATCTGGAGAGCATATGTTTTAGAAGGTGGTATGGAGATAACTGGATGGCCAACCAAGAATTTTGTGCATTTAGTTTCAATTTATTACCCTTCCTTATGGGGGAAGGTCACTTTTTTATGTGGTCCTAGGGATTGATGTGTTCTAGGCAAGAGCTCTAACACTGAGCTACACCCAAGTCCCTGAATACCATTTTTAATTATTATGTTATTGGTGTATTTTAAGCATACGTAATAGTGGGGTTTTTTGTTACTTGTCATACATGCAAATAACAAAATTTTGTCATTTTTATTTTCCTGTCTGTTACCTTTCCTTCCCCTTCTCCAACTTGTAATACACCTGCCGTAGACTCCCAAGTAGGCTGGAATTATAGAACTGTGCCATCATGCACATTTCAGAATCATTAATCTTTAATCAGGATGTATATAGGCATTTAATTGAGTTAAGGAAACTGTGAATTGTTGACTTTTAGATTTTTTTTGGCGGGGGGTGGGGGTGGGGTGGGGGTTACCGGGAATTGAACTCAGTGGCACTCGACTGCTGAGTCACATCCCCAGGCCTATTTTTTTATTTTTTATTTTTATTTTATTTTGTATTTTTTATTTAGATACAGTACCTCGATTTTGCTGAGGCTGGCTTTGACCTCCTCCTGCCTCAGCCTGCTCAGCAGCTGGTATTACAGGCATGCGCCACAGTGCCCAGCTGACTTTTAGATTTCTAAGCCTGGAGAAGCATTCTTTGACTAGAAATTAACTGTGAGCACTTATTTGTATCATTTTCTGTTAAACGGTACTGCTTCCCACTTAGATTACAAACTTCCTGAAGTCATTGTGGGTGTATTTGTAATTTCCTTCTATCTCCAGGACCTGGCATAGTTTCTTGAATATCATCAGATTTTTTAATATTGCTGAGTGATGGATCTAATTTTTTTTAATATTTATCTTTTAGTTTTAAGTGGCCCAACATCTTTATTTTGCATTTATGTAGTGCTGAGGATCAAATTCAGTGCCTCAAGCTAGGTAAGCACTCTACCACTGAGCCACAGTGTCAGCCTCCGGATCTAATATTTTTAAGGGAGCATATTCTCAGCCTGAATGTCTCTGTCAACAACTTGTAGTCCTTACTTCAGTAGGCATGCAGGTTTTTATTGTATTCTACCATTGCCAAGGAGGCATTTTCAAGTTTTCCAAAGAGTGGCTTCACTTAACACTAATTACCAGTGTTGATGGAGTTCTAACTTTGACAACTTGATTACGAATAGAATGGGGGGGGGCTGGGGATGTGGCTCAAATGGTACGTGCAGCCCAGGTTCGATCCTCAGCACCACAAACCAACAAAGATATTGTGTCTGCCGAAAACTAAAAAATAAATATTGGGGAAAAAAAAAGAATAGAATGAGGGCAGGCTGGTGTTGTAGCTCAGTGGTAGAGCACTTGCCTAGCACATGGGAGACCCTAGGTTTAATCCTCAGCACCACATAAAAATAAATTCATAAAATAAAAAGTATTGTGTCCATCTACAACTAAAAAAATTTTTAAAAATTTAAAAAAAAAAGAATAGAAGGAGGGGTTGGAGGTATAGCTCAGTGATATAGCACATGGTTAGCATGCTCAAGGCCTGATTTCATCCCCAGCACCACAAGAGAAAGAGAAATACTGACTAATTCATTGTACAACTTTCATTTCTACAAACAAAACAACAATAACAAAAAATATAATACTTTTATGTTTGCAGATCAGGGAGCAGAGAAACATGAAGGAACTGGTCAGTCCTCTGGGATCACTGATCAAGAGAAGGAATTATCCACCAGTGCTTTCCAAGCTTTCACAGTAAGAAATGGCTTCTCTTTCAGTCTGCTCAAATTGACTATCAACTATGAATCTTTTCACAGTGAATTTTTAAATTTATAAATTTTTTTCCTGTAATAATTGAGTTAAGTTTAGAGAGAAGTAGGTTTAATTTTACAACATGTTAGAGCTTAACTAACTATGGTAAAAGGAATGGAAGTAATTTTAGCCATTCTCATGCTTTTGTGTTTTCTTAAACATGTTTTAACTCTCGCTCTGTTGTTTTTTAAGTCTTTTAAATTTAGATTTGTAAATATGTTGGTCAGTCTTTTCATTCCACTACTCTGTTCAATTCTTTGTCTTGAATGTACTTTAAAAGTGGAACCCCCAAAATTTATTGTCAGAATTTTAGCTTTTCTGACCTTAAACAATATGAAAGAAAACTTTACTTGCTATTAGGATGTGTGTGTATATATATAATATATATATATATATATGTATATAAGTGAAAGAATTTGATACTGGCATATTCAAAGTATATTTACTAGAAATTAAAATTTGAAGTAATTTTATTACTTTTCTTGCCTAGACTTAGTTATTTAACCCTGCTACCAATACATACCAGTATAGCTAGTAAGTACATACATATGTTGTTGGTATAATGTGTCAGTGTCAGAGTTTGATTCCTAGGAAATGTAGATTCTTTTTTCTTTATTTTTAATTTTAATTTTTTATTTGTTCTAATTAGTTATACATGTCAGTAGAATGTATTTTGACATTGTACACAAATGGAGTATAGATTCATAATTGACATAAATATTGCTTTATCTAATGAATTTAATTAGTATATTTGGGGGGGATTCTATTTTTTTAAAGAATTTTTAAAGTAAAGCTTAGTGAAATATATTTGGAAATAATGTTCTTAAAGCTGGTATGTAATTTTGTGTGTGTATGTGTGGTTTTTTTTTTTTTTTTTAGTCTGGAAATTATGATGCCTGTCTGCAACACCTTGCCTGTCTACAAGATATAAACAAAGATGATTATAAAATAATTTTGAATACAGCAGTAGCTGAGTTTTTTAAAAGTAACCAAACAACAACAGATAATTTGAGACAAACACTTAACCAGCTGAAGAATCAGGTGATACACAAATGAATTTAACTATAAGAAAGTATTGTGTTGATTTGCAAAATACAAATAGTTAAGGAAAACAAATGTGATTTCTTGTCTTATATTGCCAGCACAATTTCTAATGAATCTGAAGCATTTGTCGTTATTAATTTTATTTGTATAAAATTATTCCAGGAAATTAAAGGTATGTTGTATTTTTTCTTTTTAGTTTTTAATTAACTTGAACAGAGTAGCCTAATATACCAAATTTAAATGAGCTTTGGGATTTTAAGAAAGAATTCAAGTAGAATTATATGAAAAATCTTAGCTCCTGAGTGTATTTTTTTTTTTTAATTAATGTATCTTTGGAATCTGTTTAGCCTCTATCTGGGTTGTATCTTTATATACATATAAAGATATATATATAKAGAGAGAGAGTATATATGTAAGAATGTATCTTTATATATATAAAGATATTTATATAGTATATGTGTGTATATAAATTATAATGTCAAATTGTTTTAGTATTTTGTATCAGTAGGTGATTAATTAATAATTGGTTTGGGCTGGAATTGGTCAGTGTTCTGGTCATAACAGCAGTATTTATCATATCCCATCACAGGGCTAGATCATTGATATTATGAGGGATAATACTGATGGTATTGATAGGGTCAGCTAGCCATATATGAAGAACTGTGACAGGACTATGCTAAGAACTTGTATGTAATGTCTCATGTATTATTCTCAATAGCCCTGTAAAATAGCTTCCCTCCCCCGCCTGCCTGTTTCCCTCCCTCCCTCCCTCCCTCCCTCCCTCCCTCCCTCCCTCCTTCCCTGTGTGTGTGTGTGTGTGTGTGTATGTGTGTGTGTTTTAAAATGGGTGGGAAAGTTTAAGGGACAGATAGCTACGTAAATTTAAATTGTCAGACAATTTTTTAGGCACTAGAGCTACATAAACCCAATTCCTTTTTTACTTTGAAGCTGGCGTTTTTAATTACTGCTAAATGCTACAGGGTGTCATTTTTTGTTTTTTATTTTTTGGGTTTTTTTTTTTTTTTTAGGGTATCTTGAGATCCATTTGAGCTGCTGTCCTACAATAATGAGTACTTTTTATATTGTATAGTATTGTCCTAAAATATGGTGCACTGAGAAATAAGTGATTCCTTCAGGTTCTTCATAATTCTTTATTAGGATTAAAGTCATTTCTAAGTCCTGTTAAAAGTTTTCAACAAAGCTGTGTGTGGTGGCACATACTTATCATCCCAGCAGTTCAGGAAGCTAAGGCAGGAGGATTACAAATTTGAGGCTAACCTTAGCAACTTAGCATGACCTTATCCCAAAAAATGAAAGGGACTGTGGACATAACCCAGTGGTAGAGCACCTGTGAATCCCCAGTTTAAAAAAAATATATTTTTTTTCAATGAAAATGAGGCTAATAGCCAACATTGAGTGAATGCTTCCTTGATACCAGATTCTTTATTCAGTGCTTTTTTATGTTTTATTTCATACAGTCCTCATATTCAACCCTTGAGATAGGAACTTGTTATTTCATCTTTAACCTTAGAGTATAGGAAGTTTAATAATTTTAATTTTGTACAGCTAGTAAGGGGAGGAGCAAGATTTTAAGAGCAAAGTTTGAACCAGGCTGTCTTTCTAACTGCTTCTAGTCTTCATAAATTTGTACATTGTCAGGTTTCATTATTACCCCAGTATTAGTACTGAGATTATCTTGGCTGATATCATAGGTAATGCACAGTATGGCCCATAAACAGTTTTTTCTACAAAAGATTTGTTTGGTCTTGGAGTACAAGGTCAGCCTTGAAACTATTTTTTTTTTTTTTTTTTTTTTTTTTATAATAAGAGCTCCTAGAATAAGAGGCATGGTGACAGCATATGCCTGAAATCCCATCTACTCTGGAGGCTAAGACTGAGGAGGATCACCAAGTTTGAGGCCAGCCTGAGCTCTCAAAAAGATCTGGGGTCATAACTCAGAGAAATTGCCTGGCATGCACAGGCCCTGGGTTCAATCCCCAGCACCACACACACACACACACCCCTGAAAATATACTTCCTAGCTATATAGTGTTGGATGAGATAAGATTACTGTGCTCATCTCCTTATTTATAAAGTAGAAATTATGATATCTGTGTTCTGGAGGTCTGGCAAGGATTAACCTATAAAACTGATTTTTTTCCTTGTTTTTTTTTGGGGGGAGGTGCTGGGGGGGGTTGTTGGGCATCATACCCAGGATCTCGCACATGCTAGGTAATAAGCAGTCTACCACTGAGCTGCATTCTCATCCCTAAAAGATTTTAATGTGGCAAGCCTGACACATAAATGGTTAGCTATTGTTTTTTAATGTGTAAATTTTATGTTTTTAGAAAATGGAATCAAATTATGCACACTGCATTGCATTTTTATGGGAAAGATCATTTTGAGTTTTGTCCACTCTCCATGTAGCTTTTTTATTATTTCTTTTATTTTTTAGTTGTAGTTGGATACAATACCTTTATTTTATTTATTTATTTTTATGTAGTGCTGAGGATCAAACCCAGGCTCTCACATGTGCTAGGTGAGTGCTCTACCATGAGCCACAACCCCAGCCCCTCTATATAGCCTCTTATTACTCATGAGGCTAGAAAATTGGACTGTTAATAAATGGAACATATCTTCACAATGCCTGATACTTAACAAAGTCCCATTAGAACAACTGATGTAACAGAATTTTACTCTGTTTGAAACAGATGAGTAAAATAATTTTTAGCATATGAGAATAATTATTGTTGATAGTGTAAAAAATTCAAATAAGAAATATGGTTGGGGAGCTGGGGATTTAGCCTAGTTGACAGAATGCCTGCCTAGCATTCACAAGGCCCTGGGAACAATCCCCAGCACCACCAAAAAAAAAAAAGAAAGAAAGAAATATGGTGGGACTGGGGTTGTGGCTCAGTGGTAGAGCGAGTTGCCTAGCATGCAGAAGGCACTGGGTTTGCCTCTCAGCACCACATACAAAAATAATAAAGTTATTATGCCCATCTACAACTAAAAATATATTTAAAAAAAAAAAAGAAATGTCGTTAAGGGCTGAGGATGTGGCTCAGTGGTAGGGTACTTGCCTAGCATATTTGAGGTGCTGGGCTCAAACTCTAGTACTCTTAAGAGAAAAAGGAATGTTGACCTATGTTCCTAATTTTTGTTGTTTTGACTATACTGGGGATGGAACCTAGGGGTGCACTAACACTGAGCTATGTTCCCAATCCTTTTTATTTTGTGAGACAGGATCTCACTAAGTTTTTCAGGCTGGTCTTGAACTTGGTGATCCTCTGGCCCCAACCTCCTGAGTAGCTGTGATTATAGGCATGTGCCACTGTACCTAACTCTATGTTCTTATTTATTCATATAAATTCTTTCACTGTTGCTTTTTATTTTCTTACTGTTGTTAGAACACATTTTCCATTGGTTGTTTTATAGGTCCACTCAGCTGTTGAAGAAATGGATGGATTAGATGATGTTGAAAACAGCATGCTGTACTATAATCAAGCAGTCATTCTTTATCACCTACGGCAGTATACAGAAGCAATATCAGTTGGTGAAAAACTTTATCAGTTCATAGAACCTTTTGGTATGTTATCTGTCAAGTCACAAATTTTCTTCTCATACTTGTAAAATTTTCTGGTATTTTTACCTAGATAATATTTATAAGAGAATCACATGTCATTATTTAAAGAAAAAAGAAACTTGTGTCCATTTTTCTTAATAGAATAGATAAAAATTATATGACATTTAAATTATTCCAGGGTTATTTTTTAGCACCTCTTTCTAGTCAGTTTTTAAATATAACTGTTACAAATAGTTGGAAAATGTTGGAAAGACGTTGCTGTTTAAACACTCACTACCTTGGTGAACTGGATTCTTTTTTACTTTTGTGCTTAATTTAAAGGAGCATTTGGAATTTTAGAGGAGAGAATAGTATTTCATTTTTGTCTTGCTGACATTTTTGTAGGTAATCATAAGTAGTATAGAACTATGTGAGCTTTTTAGTTATCTTGACTATTATTGCTGACTTCAATCAAGTTAGAATAGTCAGAGCAAAGGAAAACAACAGCATAGGGAATAGTGGACCCAGGGGGTCATTATTAGAGAAGCTAATTTTGAGTTCTAGCTCATAAGCAGTCTGATGTTGTTTTTGATTCACATTGCCTTTTTTCCTCCAGAGTTCCTTTCTTTTAAATTCGTAATATAAGTGGGAATTCCTAATTTTGAACACCTTCTGATGTGGTTACCACAGAACAAGTGATAGGGTATGAACGTACTCCTGTGTGCTTTGAGAAGAGTTGTGGGGTCCCTTTTTGCTGACAGCTGTTTGAGCAGCTGGTTACTATGGCTCCCGAGGGCCATTTTGAGGGCCTTCTCTTCTTTCCTCCTATCCTGACAAACTTGGTGACTGAACAGGCAGGCTGAGCAGGAGAGAGATCAAATAGGAAGGATTGTTTAAGCATCAGGTAGTTTCTTATATGTAGCTAATAGTCAAAGTTATGACTCACTTGTGTTTTTCTATAAAGCTACGGTTATTTGTGTTTTGTAGAATTCCCAAAACAGTTAACAAAATTCTGTTAATATATATTGTAGCTGAAGAGAATACAGCAATCAATAGTATTCAAATCCATCATTTTTTTTGAAAATTATTATAATTTTTCTATCTTACTACTTTTTAAATTAAAAAAAAAAAAGCTGAGCTTAATGATGCATGCCTGTAATTCCAGCAGCTGGTGGAGGGGAGGTTGAGGCAGGAGGATCATGAGTTCAAAGTCAGCCTCAGCAATTTATCGAGGCACTAAGCAACTCAGTGAGACTTGCCTCCAAATAAAATACAAGAAAGGGCTGGGGGGTATGGCTCAGTGGTTACGTGTCCCTGAGTTCAATCCACAGTACCAAAAAATAATTTTTTTTTTTTTGGAGCAGTTTTAGGTTCATAACAAAATTGAGAGGAAAGTACAAAGATTTCCCATGTGCCTTCTTCTCCCACCCATCTATACCCCCCCCCACCACTGCCAGTGTGTCTCTATGGTAAATGTACCAGTAAATATGTTACAGTTGATGAAAGTAGGTAGACACATCATAATCACACAAAGCCCATAGTTTACCTTAGGGTTCACTCCAAGTGCTATACATTCTGTGGGTTTGGATAAATGTATCCATTATAGTATTACTTAACATGTTTTTACTGTTCTGAAAGTTCTATGTGTTCTCATTCACACACACGCCCTGCCATTGCTCATTTTTGTATCATCTGCCATCTCTATAGTTTGACCTTTTTTAGAATATCAAAAATTGGAATTATATCTACTCATTTTCTATTTTTTTGTTTGTTTGTTTATTTTGGTGGTACTAGAGATTGAACCCAGGGGTATTGTACCACTAAGCTAAATTTCCAGCCCTTTCTTTTTTATTTTGCTAAGTTACTGAGGATGGCCTTGAATTTACAATCCTTCTGCCTCAGTCTCCTTAGTTGCTGTGATTGCAAGCACCTCCCACCACACCCTGGTCCTATTCAGATATTTCATATAGTATATTTATCGTGCATATGACCCAATGCAATGGGACAGACAACGTTCTGGGATCTGGGGATATTGCCATGAGCAAAATTGGGAAAGTCTTTACCCTCATTAAGCTTAATTTGTAATGATAGAAAAAGCAATACAATACATACACACACACACACACACACACACACACACACACACAGTGAGGTAGTTGGGATGCTTTGTGAAGTAAAGCTAAAATTGGGTAAGAGTTTAGAGATTAGTGATGTTTAATTTTAGATAAGGTAATCAGACAGTTTCTGGAATAAGTCAGTATTTGAAAAGAAATCTGAATAAAGAAAGGTGACTCATGCAATTCTTGAGGAGGAAAGCATTTCAGCCAGAGAACCTAAGGTGAGTGATGGTAAAAAGACAGCAGAAAGGCTATTGTGACTGGAGCTTAGGTGAGGAGAACCCATAGAAAATAAAGATAGAAGTAGCCAGGAGCACTAATATCACAAGAAAAGGCAGGAGTAGGGGTAGTAGTCAGGGCAGAGCTGTAAAGCATTGTAACCTAGGTAATGTCTTCTGTCTTAGATGTGCTGAGGAATCCTTGGAGATGTTAATTTCAAATTTTAAATGGATTTCATTCTTTAAAGGCTTTTGAATTTTTCTGCTCTTGATTATAGCAGCTATCTTTTAGACTTTACATTTCCCTTTTATTTCCTTTTTTGGAAAGGAAAATAAAATAGTTTGTGTCACACCAAGTTATCTTTTCTGTCTTCTTTGTATCCTTCCTTTGAAGGCTTGTCTTTATATTTTCCTCTTGGCAGTCTCTGTTTTCTAATATACTGCAGTTCACACCTTGCATCCTTTATTTCTGCAAGCAATTGTTTCTTTTTTCCATTTCTAAGAAAAGAAATCCATTTCATAAGAGTCATAGACCTTTTTAGTTAAAAGGAATTTGAAAACTGGGCAACAGTGGTGCACACCTGTAATGCCATCAATTCGTGAGGCTGAGGCAGGAGGATCACAAGTTCAAGGCCAGCCTCAGCAATTTGGCAAGACTCTAATTCAAAAACTTTTAATAAAGGGCTGGGAATGTAGCACAGTTATAAAGCTCCGTTCAATCCCTAATACCAAAAAATAAAAAAGGAACTTCAAGAGATCCTTGACTTCATGCATTCTCCCATTTTATAAGCCAGCCAGCTGAGGTCTAAAAAGCTGAACAATTAGCAGAACAGGTACTGAAATTTGGATTTCTTCTCACCTGAAGTAATAATATTCTTCATTACATCTGCTAGTGTTTAGTGAATACTTTACCAAAGAAGATACAGTCCCTAAATCCCTAAAGTGAGAAGCCTTGAGATGCCTGATAGAATGGCATTGCTGCTATAGCAAATTGCTTTCATTCATAACTGTGGGTGATGTGCATTCACTTCGGTAAATAAAGATTTAGGGTTTTACTCTTTAGAGCTTTGTATCCTATTTTGGAGGGTGGTCTGAGATGTGTGCTTCCCTTTGGATTTCAACTTGACTTTTCCTGTTTGTTTTCTTTCCCCACCAGAAGAAAAATTTGCCCAAGCAGTGTGTTTTTTGCTTGTAGACCTATACATTTTAACTTACCARGCTGAGAAAGCATTGCATCTTCTTGCCGTCCTAGAAAAAATGATTTCACAGGGTAACAATAACAAAAATGGGAAGAATGAGGTGAGTGTTCTGAGATAATCAGACTAAAATTTAAAAGTATGATTATATTTGTGGTTATGAAATATTATCTTAACAGCTTTATTGAGATGTAAATTACATAAACTACCTTTTTTTTTTTAAGGTTCCCATTGTCCAGACCCAGTAAACTACCATTTTAAAGTTCAGTGTTTTATTATCACTAATCTGAACATTTTCATCACCTGAAAAAGAAAACCTGTATTCATTATCAGTCACTCCATTTCCGCCTCCTCACAGCTCTTGCAACCACTACTCTATTTCCTGTATTTCCTGTCTCTCTGAATTTGCTTAGAACTAGACATTAGATATTAATGGAACCATGTAATATGTGGCGTTTCATGACTGAGTTCTTTTCACTTACTATGTTTTCAAACTTCCCCTGTGTCATAGCATGTGCTTTATTCCTTTTTATTCCATATGAATGTTCCACATTTTTTTAAAAATGTATTCATCAGTTTATGTATATTTGGGTTGCTTTCCACTTTTTTGCTAAAAATAATGCTACTGTGAACATACATACACAAATTTTTGTGTGGACATGTATTTTCAGTTCTTTGAGGTATATATTTAGAGGTAGAATCACTGGGTCATACAGTGACTATATGTAGCCTTAGGAAAACTACCCGACTTTCCAAAGTGGCTACACTGTGTTATATTCCCACCAGCGATTCATGAGAATTATGATTTTTCCATATTCTTGCCAACACTTAATGTATCTTTTTTTTTTAAGAATTTCATTTTTAGTTATGGATGGACACAATACCTTTATTTTGTTTGTTTTTTAATGTGGTACTTAGGATCAAACCCAGTGCCTCATACATGTTAGGTGAGCACTCTACCATTGAACCACAACCCCAGCCCCCACTTAATGTATCTTTTAAAAAAAAAAAAAAAATTAGCCATCTTAGTGGGTGCAAAGTGGTGTCTTATAGTTTTGATTTATATTTCTCTACTAACTAAGGATGAATATTGAGCATGAACTGGGCAAGTGGCACATGCCTACAATCCCAGCCACTCAGGAGACTGAAGAATCACAAGTTTAAGGCCAGCCTGGGCAACTTAGCAAGACCCAGTCTCAGAAGAAATCAAAAAGGAGTAGGGATGTTTCTCAGTGGTAAAGCACTCTTGGGTTCAATTCCCCAGTACCACAAACAAACAAAAAGAATTGAGACAATGAATTAATCCATAATCTGAAGTTGGGCATTGTGAAGTATGCCAATACTGTCAACTACTTGAGATGCTGAGGTGGGAGGACCACTTGAGTCCAGGAGTCAGCCTAGGCAACACAGCCAGATCCCACCTCAAAAACAAAATCTCCATAATCTGAATAAACAGTGTAGCTATCATTAGAGAAAAATTTCATTATTTAAGTTCTTCACAAAGAACATATATTTCTTTCAATTAAGCTTTTCCATGTTCTGCAGAGAGACTTCAGTGGGGGAGAATCAAAGGAAGATCAGTAAAGAAAAGGCTCTAGGGGGAGGAAGGAGGGGAGGAAAAGGGGAAATACTGTGGAATGATATTTGCCAAATCATATTGTTATATTGTGTACATGAATGAATATATAACAATGAATTCCACTTTTATGTACAAAATATAGAAAAAGAAAAAATATATATCCTCCTGGGCCCTGTGGCACATGCCTGTAATCCCAGAAACTCTGGAGACTAAGACAGGAGTATCACAGTTCAAGGCCAACTTCAGCAATTTTGACCCTGTCTCAAAACAAAACTGCAAAGGGCTAGGGATATAGTTCAGTAGGGGGTTGGGGGTAGATCCTGGTCTTCTATTTCTTTTGTATGTGTAGCTGGTTTTAAAGGGGTAGCTCTTTTTGTGTTTCTGTTCCTACCCCTTGTTGGTTTTTTTGTTTGTTTGTTTTGTTTTGTTTTGTTTTTAAGTGTTTGTAGGAAACAAACAAGGTATGGTCAGTACCTTTTGCATGTATCAGTTCTTGTGGTTTAAAAATAAACATCTAGCATGTTTTGCTTTTTACAACTTAACGTGTGTATATAAGGGGTTTCAGTTGTGTAATCATAAACATTCCTAAATATTGTGTAGTCAAAATATTTCATTTTTATGGTCAGTACTTATAATATTTGCTGAAATATAATTTAGTTCAGCATATGCTTGCATGTACTAAAGTGACAAAAACGGAAGCACTGCAGTTCTTACTCTCAAGGATCTTGGGTAGAGAGACATAGATTGAGTAATATCAATTCATGAACAGAGAGGAAGGAGATTAGGGAATGTTTCAGAGGCGTTCAGATGTTTGATTTGGACCTTGAATGATCTGACAGATGAAACAGTAGGAGCAAAGCAAGATAACAATTCTGGCAGGAAAAACAGCACAAAAAGTATATCTGGTGTGCTACAGAAATTTCTGATAATAAATTGAGTAGTCCCTGAGAAATGTAATGGAAAGCAGCAAGAGTAGAGATGGACAGTAAGTATGGGTCATAGCCTGAAGAACTTTGAACACTTTTCTAGCAAGTTAGGATTTGGTGGTGTTGGCAGTGTCTATAGCAGAGAGGTTTCTAAGAAGGAAGTGATATGATCTTGATTTTAGAAAAATAGCCTGGATAATAACCATGCTTTGGGGATTTAACTCAGTGTTCTTAGGCCCTTTACCATTGAGCTACATCCACAACTCTTTTTATTTTTTATTTTGAAACTGTCACATTTAGTTTTGGGACTCATCTCAAATTTGCAATCCTTCTGCCTCAACCTCCTTGGTTTCTGGGATTATAGGCATGCATCACTGATACTACCCAAGCTTTTTAAAAAGAGTTCATTATTATGCTCAACTGTGAGCTTCTCCTAAGTAATTTTTTGGTGCATTTCAGACTACTGAACTTGAATCTTTTGGAAGTGGGACCTGGGGTTTTGCCTTTTTTGGGGAAGGGGGGTAAGTGGATGGGGGATCCTGGGTATTTTACCTCTGAGTTACACCCCCAGCCTTTTTATTTTTTATTTTGAGACAGGATTTCAATAAGTTGCTGAGGCTGTTCTCAAACTCGTGATCTTCCTGCTTCAGCCTCCTGAATCACTAGGATTACAGCCCGTAAGCCACCGCACTTGGCTTCATTTTTAAAATACTTTCTATATGTTTATGTTAACTCACTTGGAATTTAGTTAGTTATGACCAAAAATATTTAATTTTGGTTAACTTTGTTTCATCATCCTGCAGACTGGTAATAATACCAACAAAGATGGATCTAATCATAAAGCTGAAAGTGGAGCTCTGATAGAAGCCGCAAAATCAAAGATACATCAGGTAGGGTAAATTTTAAAGGATACATCTTCTTTATTTTCTTTTTATAAATAATGAAACAGTGTGAAAAACCAGTGTATAACTCAATGCGCATGTATTTATTTGGCTTTGAAAAGTTAGTTTAGAAGTACATTTATACTTCCAAATACATTTTGCTTTAGATGATAGTATTATTCTACAAAAATTTGAGATATATGATCTGGAAATATACTGGATGATAAAATCAATTTGTGGAATTTTAAAAGTCACTGTTAATTAACTGCAGATAAGAATTCATAAGATTTTGGGGGGCCCGGGCTGTAGCTCAGTGGTAGAGCACTTGCCTCACATGCTTGAGGTACTAGGTTCAGTCCTCAGCACCACATATAAATAAATAAATAAAATACAGATATTGTGTCCATCTACAACTAAAAAAATTTTTTTTTAACTTGTAAAATTTTTGCTTGGAACTCAATATAAGTTTTATTTTATCATATTTTTAGTGTTTTGGAGTATATTCCAAGAGTTCTATTAAAATAGAATACTTAAGAAAAATTTAAACTTGTCATTGTAAGTAACTAGTATAACTATATTGTAAATAAATGAATAAATAAATATTTATTTTAATTTTAATAAGATTAATTTTAATTTCCTTAACTAGAAAGTAAAACTTTAGCACATGTAAATTATTCTTAGTTCTTCAATAGTATCATTTTTCTTTGACAGTATAAAGTAAGAGCTTATATCCAAATGAAGTCCTTGAAGGCATGCAAAAGGGAAATCAAATCAGTCATGAACACAGCTGGAAATGTAAGTTTCTTTTGGACTTTTTTCAGTTTTTGGCATTCTTATTTAGACTGCATAATTATCAATTTTAAATAATTTATTTTGTGTTGGATGTATAGCTCAGTGGTAAAGGACATCCTTAGCGTGCATAAGAACCAAATTCAAACTTGCACCAAATCAGTAATTTATCTTGGTCTATTAAGTAGACTATCAGATATAAACCTTGATATTATAAAGTTGGGAGGTAACAATTATAGTGTATGCATAGTTTAATATATTTTTCACTTAAAATTATAACAATTTGCTGGGTGCAGTGGCACACACCTGTAATCCCAGTGGCTCAGGAGGCTGAGACAGGAGGATTACAAGTTCAAAGCCAGCCTCAGCAACTCAGTGAGACCCTGTCTCTAAATAAAAGACAAAATAGGGCTGGGGATGTGGCTCAGTTGGTATCCCTGAGTTCAATCCCCAGTACTTCCCCCACCCCCACCGTCACCCCTCCAAAAAATTATAACAGTTTGAGCCAGGCATGGTGGTGCATACCTGTTATCCCAGCAACTCTGGAGGCTGAGTGAGATAGGAGGATTGCAAATTCAAGGCCAGCTCAGAAACTTAATGAGACTCTGTCTCAAAAAGTAAAAAGGGGTGGAGATGTAGCTCCGTGACAGGTAGTAGTTCAGTCCCCAGTACCACAAAATAAATGAAGAACGAACGAACTTGGGTGGCAGGAGGGTGTGTAACAGTAGTAGAAAACTTGTCTTGCATGTGCAAGGCTCCTGGTTTAATCCCCAGTTCTACTAAAAATAAATTGTAACAAGTATTTTCCCTTTGTGTGTAGCTTTCAAAACCTCCATTTAAAATAGCTGCCTAGGGCTGGGGTTGTGACTCAGTAATAGATCACTCACCTAGCACGTGCGAGGCCCTGGGTTTGATCCTCAGCACCACATAAATAAATAAAATAAAGGTGTCATGTCCAACTACAACTAAAAAATAAATGTTTAAAAAAATAAAATAGCTGCCTAGTATTCAGTGAATGGTTTAATCACAATTTACTTAAACATTTTGCTAATATTAGGCATTTATGTTTTTTTGTTTATTTTTTCTTTGTTGTTGTTGCTGGGTGTTTTATTTGTGGTATCACATATCGAACCCAGTGGCACTTGACCAATGAGCCACATCCCCAGCCTTGTTTTTTGTACTTTATTTAGTTGCACTAAGTTACTTTTGCACCTCAACCTCCTGAGCTACTTGGATTACATGTGTGTGCCACTGCGCCCAGCCTCCCCAGCCCTTTTCATATTTTATTTTGAGACAGGGTCTTGCTAAGTTGCTTAGAGCCTTGCTAAATTGCTAAGGCTAGCTTTGAACTTATGATCCTCCTACCTCGGCCTCCCAAGCCACTGGATTATAGGTGTGTACCACTGTACCCTGCTAGAGTTTTAGTTTTATACTCAAAACCTTTATTAAAGATTTAACAGTCAAGTTATAATGAAAACCTGTCCCTTCCAAATGAGTTTTGGCTTGATGATACCTTAGATTTTTGACTTATACTAGAATATTTGAGCTTTAGTTACTCCTTTCTTCTATTCTCCTCACCATATTACTCTACTAAAAAACTATTTTTAAGGTGGTGTAGGAAAGAAACAGAACTGTAACCAATCTTAATGTTTTTAGGAAAACTGTAAATTTTGAACTGTAAAAGCCAGAGAAGATACAGTTTGAAATCTCAGGCAGAATCCTGCCTGATGGCAGGCCCCTGGAATATACTCAATATATCCATAAATTATAAATTGTGAGGACAAGTGTTGTAGAACAATTGAAGGTTAAGAAGGGAAATCCTAAATAGCTAGCTAGCCAGCCATTATCAAACTTTCTTTGTATGTAATCTTTATTTTTGATAAAAGGCATAACCCTGTCATAAAGGAAGCTATAGTCATAGTAGAGAGACAATGAAAATAAATAATTGGAATGCAGTACAGTAGTTATACCTGAATCAGGGAAAATGTTAGGAAGAAGTGCTGCCACCTAGAATAAGCTTTGAAAACCGTTTTCACCCCTGGAAATTCTGTACCTCTGGGACAGGACCAGGGGCTCTGCCCCAAACTCTTCCAAAGCAGTTAACAAAACCAGGTGGATGAGGAAGGAGTCACACGCTGCTAAGGTGCCTAATGGTGGATGTGCCTCATAATGCCTGGCTGGGGCTGATGGCGGAGGGATGGCAGAGGGTCACCAGAGGGCACCAGCCCACATAATGCCAAGAGGGCCATTGCCACATGTGACCTGCTGACCATAGGAGCCAGGCCATTTTAGATCTGTTTTTTTATTTATTAGTGCTCATACTTTCTATACATAAACCTGAGATTTGAAAATAATAAACATCAAATGACAGAATAAAAAAGAAAAGACTTGTTTCCTTAGTGAACAGAACTCTTGGGTATACAGGAAGCAGATCTGAGGAAGAAGTAGGATTTTAGAAGGAAAGCCTATTTCTTTCTCTCTTTTTTTAATATATATTTTTTTAGTTGTAGATGGACACAATATCTTTATTTTATTTATTTATTTTTATGTGGTGCTGAGGTTCATAACCAATGCCTTGCACGTGCAAGGCAAGTGCTCTACCACTGAGCTACAGCCCCAGCCCAGGAAAGCCTGTTTCCAAGATAAAGTGAATAAATAATAAGGATTACAGATGCCTTCATAGATGGGTGTTACTATAGTGTTCAAATCTTTGCGTGCTTTTAGGCTCCAAAGAAGTACTATTTAGGGGACCTGCCTTAAGAGAAGTCTTAAAAGTGATAGATGATATGCAGTCCAAAATATGATCTTTGGAACAGCAGAATTATATTGTTTGCAAACAAAGCCTTCCGTTGGAAAATTCTTCCATGTATCGAATAACTTTTTTTTTTTTCATTTGGAAAAGTATTTGAAAGGCATATTTGTATCCTAAGAAATGAGGAAACTCACTAAACGCTTTACTAATCATTAAAATGGAAGATCTAGTTTGTTCTGTCTTTGGCTTCTGGTTAAGCCAGTGGAGATGATGCTTGAGAAGGGTTACTTGAGCCTATAGGTTCAAGGTCAGCCTAGGCAAAATAGTGAGACCCAGTCTCTAAAAAAATTAAAACAAAAACTTAAATTGGTTTCCAATTATTAGTATAGTAGACGAAAACAGTCAATTGATATTTTATGGACTATATTCTCCTCCCCTCCCCCTTTGGTGACACTGGGTATTGAATCCATAGGTATTCCATCATGAAGCTACATACCCAAACCTCTTAATTATTTATTTTGCTGTGCTGGAGATTCCAAGGCCTCATGCATGCTGGGCAAACACACTACCCCTGAGCCACATCCCCAGTCTTCCCTTTTTATTTTTCATTTTGAGACAAAGTCTCACTGAATTACCCAGGCTGTCCTTGAACTTGCAATCCTTCTGCCTCAGTAGGTGGGAGTACAGGTATGTACCACTATGCCCAGCTATATACTGAATTCCTTTTTCTCTTTTGTTCTTCCAATGCTGGGGATTGAACCGAGGGCCTCAAGTGAGCAAGTCACTCTACCGTTGAGATATATATATAGAGAGATATATATATATATAGAGAGAGATATATATATATATATATATATCAACCATATAGACTGAATTCTTTTTTTTTTTTTTAAAGAGAGAGTGAGAGAGAGGGGGACAGAGAGAGAGAGAGAGAAATTTAATATTTATTTCTTTTTCTTAGTTCTCGGCGGACACAACATCTTTGTTTGTATGTGGTGCTGAGGATCCAACCCGGGCCGCACGCTCGCTAGGCGAGCGCGCTACCTCTTGAGCCACATCCCCAGCCCTAGACTGAATTCTAATGCACATATGTTGTATTAATTTGTTAAGGTAGACCCTTAATCATCCTTTTACACTTTTAAGTAGACATTTAGTTTTCCTATTTACAAAGTGCTTTCTTTCTGACAGGTTTCAATTTCTTAGATTGAGAGAGCAGTGAAAAATTTAAGAGACTATATACAGTTTTGTGGGGCTCTGGATGTAGCTCAGTGTAGAGCACTTGCACAGCATGCCCTGTGTTTAATCCCCAGTACTGGAAAAAGAAAAAAATACTTTTTTGTGACCATGTCTTAACCAATTTATATATACTCTTGAGCACATACCTTTATAATATAACTATGATCTTACATTATGTTTCTGAAAACAAATTTTGAATGACTTTTGTATTTGCTTTACAGTCTGCACCCTCTCTATTTCTTAAAAGCAATTTTGAGTACTTACGGGGCAATTATCGGAAAGCTGTGAAACTATTAAATAGTTCAAACATCGCTGAGCATCCAGGATTCATGAAAACAGGTAAAATAAAATTGTAAAATTTTAGTATTTTTTCCTGACTCTTATACTCCCTGTTGCTTTTTGTTTCCCTTGGAATGTTCTTTTTTTTTCTTTGGTACTGGGGATTAAACTCAAGGGCACTCAACCACTTAGCCACATCCCCAGCCCTATTTTGTATTATATTTAGAGATAGGGTTTCATTGAGTTGCTTAGTGCCTTGCAGTTGCTGAGACTGGCTTTGAACTTCTCCTGTCTCAGCCTCCCAAGCTGCTGGGATTACAGCCCTCGCCACCCCACCCCAGCCTTTTTGCTAATTTTTTTTTTTTTTAGAAAATTTTAAATATTTATTTTTTAGTTTTCGGTGAACACAACATCTTTATTTTATTTGTATGTGGTGCTGAGGATCGAACCCAGCACCCCGCGCATGCCAGGCAAGCGCGCTACTGCTTGAGCCACATCCCAGCCCTTTTTGCTAATTTTTAAAATGAAAATTTTTTTACTATTTCTGCTGCAGGACTTTTAGTTTATGGCTTGCTTCTATTTCAGAAGAAGACTCATTACTTCTTTAACTTCACTTGCTCTTTCATTTTGTTTTTTAATACTGGCTTAGAAATAACGAATGGGAGCCAGGCATGGTGGCACACACCGATAATTCTCACTTCTGGGGAGACCAAGGCAGTAGGATCATAAGTTTGAGGCCAGCTTAGATAATTTAATAAGACCCTGTCTTAAAATAAAATTTTAAAAGGCTTAGGGCCAGGCCTGGTTGTGCACACCTGTAATTCTATCGACTCAGGATGCCGAGGCAGGAGGATCACAAGTTCAAAGACAACCTGGGCAGTTCAGCAAAACTCTGTCTCAAAATAAATAAAAAGGGCTCAGAATGTAGCTCAGTAGTGGAGCATACAGTAAATACATACATACATACATACATACATACATAAATGGAATCAGGATTAGGTGTATAGTTAACTAGTCAACAGTTATGGTGATTTAATGGGATAGATTTTTGTATAGTTATACATGTATTTTGTGTATTGGTTTTTTTTAGATATTGATGGATCTTTATTTTATTCATTTATTTAGATGTAATGCTGAGAATCCAGACTCACACATGCTAAGCAAGCTCTCTAGCACTGAGCCACAACTCCAGCCCTGTATTGATATTTTGAAATCTTTAATTTGCTTTCTATATACTAACATTTTTTGCTACTGATAAAGCATGTTGTTAGAAAATATTTGGAAAACAAGATTTTTCTTAAATTGTATACAATGCTACTTACCCAGAAGTAATCTCCTACTTTTCCTTTCTTTTTTAATACGTTTATTTTATTTATTTTCATGTGGTGCTGAAGAGCAAACTCAGTGCCTCACACATGCTAGCGAGCGCTCTGCCGCTGAGCCACAACTCCAGCTCTCCTACTTTTTCTAAGCTTCGTTTTTCTTTCCTTTTTTTTTCAATGCTGAGAATCAGAACTCAAGCCTGCTAATAAGGGCATATTCTACCATGAGCTAAATTTCCAGTTGCCACCACCCTACCCTTTTCAGGGGCACTCAACTATTAAGCCACATCCCCAGCCCTATTTTGTATTTTATTTAGAGACGGGGTCTTACTGATTTGCTTAGTGCCTTGCTTTTGCTGATGGCTTTGAACTCTTGATTCTCCTGCCTCAGCTTCCCAAACCACTGGGATTACAGATGTTTGTGTTTTATTTTGAAACAAGGTCTCACTAAATTGTTTAGGGCCTTTCTAAATTACTGAAGCTGCCCTTGAACATGTGATCCTCCTGTCTCAGCCTCCCAAACTAAGCCATTGGGATTAAGGCATGCACCACTACACCTGGCTTCCTTTTCTCTTTTAAAACATTATTATTTCTTAATTTAAAACTATACCAGGGGCCTGGGGATGTGGCTCAAGTGGTAGCGTGCTCGCCTGGCATGCGTGCGGCCCGGGTTCAAACCTCAGCACCACATACAAACAAAGATGTTGTGTCCGCCGATAACTAAAATAAATAAATATTTTAAAAAATAAAAATAAAAAAAATAAAACTATACCAGAAGACAGCCTTTAGTTTTTTCTGTTAACTAATAAATGTCCTAATTATGAATTTTTTCATTCTAATCAGATATATGATTAAAGATATGGACTGGGGCTGGAGATGTGGTTCAAGCAGTAACGCACTTGCCTGGCATGCGCGGGGCACTGGGTTCCATCCTCAGACCACATAAAATAAAGATGTTGTGTCCACCGAAAACTGAGAAATAAATATTAAAAAAAGGGCTGGGGATGTGGCTCAAGCGGTAGCGCGCTCGCCTGGCATGTATGTGTGCGGCCCAGGTTCGATCCTCAGCACCACATACAAACAAAGATGTTATGTCCGCCGAAAACTAAAAAATAAATATTAAAAATTCTCTCTCTCTCTCTCTCTCTCAAAAAAATTTAAAAATATATATATATTTTAAAAAAAGGTATGGACTATTCAGCAAATTATCTTAGAATGTTTGGAGAGCCATTTAGAAAAAGAAAAATAAAACTTGGATTACTTTCATTACACCAAAGTAAAATATGTTGAGATGAAGAATTAAAATATAAAAACAAAATTTAAAAAAATAGCTAAAGAAAACTCTGATGAGTGTGAATATACTTTGTATACAATCAGATATTGAAAAAAATGTGTTCTATATGTGTAATAAGAATTGTAATGCATTCTGCTATCATATAAATAAAATTAATTAGATTTAAAAAATAAAATAATTGTATAATTATAAAAAAAGAAAACTCTGATGAGTAGTTTAATTTTGTGGTGGGGAATGCTTAATTAAGAAATATAGAATTTAGAAAAGATTGTTAAGATTTTGACCACATAAAAATGTTAAACATTTTTATGATCAAAACCAAACATATATATTGAACCAAGTCACAAAACATGACAAATAGAAGTGGGCAAGAATATTTGAAACAGATGTGACAGAATGTGTCTATAACATGCAAGTCAGCTGGGAAGCAATAGGAAAAATGTCTGTAACTAWTTTTTTTTTTTTTTAGTTGAACACAATACCTTTATTTATTTTTATGCAGTGCTGAGGATCGAACCCAAGGCCTCACACATGCCAGGCAAACACTCTATCACTGAGCCACAACCCCAGCCCTGTAACTAAATTTTTAAACCAGATAAAAGACAAGATAAGATAGTACAGGTGAAGAAATGTGAATGCCCACCAAACATGTGAGAAGATGGTCATCCACGCTCATGTTTATTTGAAGAGGTTTAAATTAAAATAACAGTAGAAGCTGGGCACCGTGCTACATGCCTGTAATCCTAAGCAACCTGAAAGGCTGAAGCAGGAAAATTGTAGGTTCAAGATCAGCCTCAGCATTTTATTCAGACCCTAAGCAACTTAGGGAGAACCTGTCTCAAAATAAAAATTAAAATGAGCCAGGATGTAGCTCAGTGGTAAAGCAACTCTGGGTTCAATCCCTGGTACTAAGAAAAGAAAAGAAAAATAGAATTTAAATTTTTTTCAGATATTTTCTGAGTTTTAAATATGAAATTGCATAATTAACTTACACTCACCCCATGAGTCTGCTTCTTTCATGAGAGACATCAAGAGTAAAATATTTTCTGTAGACAGATTTATTTGTATGTTTCTTAGGTGAATGCTTGAGATGCATGTTCTGGAATAATCTTGGTTGCATCCATTTTGCCATGAGCAAGCACAATTTGGGAATTTTCTACTTTAAGAAGGCTCTTCAGGAAAATGACAATGTCTGTGCACAACTCAGTGCAGGTAGCACTGATCCAGGTAAGCCCAGCACTGGGGGACATTTCATATTTAACTACTGATTTTTGACCAGCATCTGGTCAAAATATATGCTATGTGGACCTACATACAAGTAACATTGATTCTGCCCAACAAGCTCTGGGGATTTTTCGTAAATACTGCTACTTTGAATAACAAAGCATTTTACATCAAGGTTCCATGTAATATGAATATTAAGTATATTATATGGATCCTTGATGTCTGAAGTAATTTTGAATGATTAAAAGAATTGTTTCAAGCTGGGCACAGTGACATAGGCCCATAATCCCAGCTACTGAGGAGGCTGAAGCAAGAGGATCAGCCTTGGCAACTTAGTGAGACCTTCTCTAAAAATAAAAAAGTTGCATGGGGCAGAGGCACTGAGGATGTAGCTCAGCAGCAGTAGACTGTCCCTGGGTTCTATCCCTAGTACCACAAAAAGAAAGAGAAAAAAAACCTAAGCTACATGCAGTTTTTCATGGAATATAAAATCTATAATATGGCATGGTAATATGAACCATATCTATTTACTCAAAATTAATTTTTTTTCTGTTTGTTTTTTACAGTACAGGGGATTGAACCTGTTACCTCAGGCATGCTAGGCAAGCCCTCAACCACTGAGCTACATCCTCAGACCTTTTTTTTTTTTAATATTATTTTTGACATAGGGTCTAAATTGCCTAGGCTGCACTCAAATTTAGGATCCTCCTGTTTCCATCTCCTGGGATTACAGGTGTGCCACACTACACCCCACTAAAATTAATTTTCTTGACTGTTCCAAACTAGCTTTATTTACAGGTTCTTTGTGGAGTTTCACATGTGATACCATTAGAAATATCTGACAACTTTAAGCAAATTCCTGACATTTATTCTTTAATATTCATATTACATGGATCCTTGATGTGAAATGCTTAAAATCAAGCCATTGACAACTGCTTAAAATAATAAAAACCTATTTAATTGATGGAAAATGTATATTTTTAATTTTTTTCATGGTTATAGATGGATAGCATGCTTTTATTTTATTTGTTTATTTTTATGTGGTGCTAAGGATCAAACTCAGTGCCTCACACATGCTAGGCAGGCACTCTGCCACTGAGCCACAGCCCCAGCCCTGGAAAATGTATTTTAAACTACAAGTGATCCTATTCACCCCCCCACACATACACACAGTACTGGGGATTGAATGCAGGGGCACTTTACCATTGAGCCACATCCCCAGTCCTTTTTATTTTTTGAGACAGATTCTCACTAAATTACTGAGGCTGGCCTTGAATTTGAAATCCTCCTTGCCTCAGCCTCCCAAATTACTGGAATTACAGCAGGTACCACCATACCCAGCCTGCTCTTATTTTACTACTAGGATTCATTGAATAAGTGATAGCACATAATAAAAAAATTAACAAAGCAGAAAATCTAAAAAGAGTAGAATCTTCTTATAAGCTCTGAAAATGTGGAAAGGTACCATAAGCTTCAAAGAAGTGAGAGAGATTCCTGTGACTTACCTTTGTCTCCCTGGAGCATTATTGCCTGAGAAGCTGGTACATGAGTGGAGATACTCTGGCCCTGTCCCTTAGACAACTGAGATGATTCTAGAGAATATTTATGGGTTTGGGGATGGAGACTCCCATTGGTGAGAGCTCTTGCAATTTCAAAGTATGGTTATTGGTATTAAATATAGTAGTATTTAAATATGTAGTGGAGTAAATATTTTTCAATGTAACTGTTACTTTAATGATTTATTCTCATCAAATTTTTATAACTAGGCAAAAAATTTTCAGGAAGACCTATGTGTACGTTACTAACCAACAAGAGGTATGAGTTGCTGTATAACTGTGGAATTCAGCTTCTTCACATTGGAAGGCCTCTTGCTGCCTTTGAGTGTCTGATTGAAGCTGTTCAGGTTTATCATGCAAATCCCCGCCTTTGGCTACGGCTGGCTGAGTGCTGCATTGCTGCCAATAAGGGGGTGAGTGCTACTGGGTGCCATTTCAAACCCCCTTTTCTCTTCCCCGAAACTTGTTACATAGAAAGCAAAACATAAATAAATAAATAGATAGATAGATAGATAGATAGATAAATTAAATAAATAAGATCTACTTATTTATTTATTTGTTTCCCCTGGTATTAGGGGTGGAACCTAGGGGCACTCTACCACTGAGCTACATTCCCAGCCTTTTTTATTTTTAAATTTTGAGACAGGGTCTCACTAAATTGCTGAGGATGTCCTTGAACATGTGATCCTCCTACCTCAGTCTCCCAAGTAGATGGAATTACAGGCATGAACCACCCTGCCCAGCCTGATTTCCTCTTCAATCCTCATTGAATTTGTAAAGATAGTCTACTGTTTTTTAATAGTTGGGGAGAAATTTAGTTTTTAAAGTCATTTGTTAACACTGATTCTTGGTAAGTTTGGCAACATTCAAGAGTTGAAGCTTGTAAGAAGACAGTGTCTGTTGGAATAGAGATCCAGCTGCTAGGGTGAGGCCATTCCATCTGATAATGTGATTAATATTTTGTGTATACCCAGTAATTAGTGAAGGGTTGATAATAGAGTGTGGAAAGAACTTCCTGATGGCACATGTCTATAATCCTAGCAAATTGGAAGGCTGAGGCAGGAGGATTGCAAGTTCAAGGCCAACCCTGGCAATTTAGCAAGACTCTGACTCAGAATAAAAAATAAAAAGCTAGAGATGTGGCTCAGTGGTAGAGTACCCCTGAGTTCAATCCCTAGTACCCTGCCAAAAATATATATATATATAGACTGCATTAAACTGCACATTTACTTCATTGCCTTGGAATTTTACTTCTGTTTCAATAAATAGTAATAGAATTTATAAATTACCAGGCTCTTGTCTCTACATTTGTCCACAGTGGTATGAGACTAGGCTAGCTTACATTGACATTATCTCCATACAGCAGTTGGTGGATGCTTTTTAGATCTCAAACTGAGTAGGAGGTAGGAGAAGGACAATTTATATCAGAATCAGAATAATTAAATGTTTGTATCACCTCGTATCTTACCCCCCCTACACACACCCTTCGAGTGCTGTCTGGATGTGTTAAGGTTGGGGAAGTGTGAGATCTTGAAGCTTAGACTGACATGCCTGCCATAGGCGATACAGGATATGGAAGCTCTTCTGCTAAGCAAACTCTTCCTGAGGGATAGTATGAGAACTAAGAAGTATGTTTGCCTACCACACACAGTACTCAAGTAGTTTGTGATTTGAGAATATCAAAGGAGGAAGAGACCTCAGTGATATCTTTGAAAGGTTTTTTTTGTTGGGGGCCGTGGGGTACTGGGGGTTGAACTTGGGTCACTCAACCACCAAACCACATCCTCAGCCCTATTTTGTATTTTATTTAGACACAGGGTCTCAGTGAATTGCTTAGTGCCTCACTGTTGCTGAGGCTGCCTTTGAACTTGCAATCCTCCTGTCTCAGCCTCTGGAGCCACTGAGATTACAGGCATGCACCACCGCACCTGGCTCTTTGAAGGGTTTTATTAATGCCTTTAATTGTATTTTGCTTTTTAAGAGAATTTTCTCATTGGATTTTTTTTAAATTGTTGATGGCCTTTATTTATTTATTTATAAGAATCAAACCCAGTGCCTCACACATGCTAGGCAAACACTTTACCACTGCAATCCCAGCCCCTTGGATAATTTTTAAATTAACTGATTGACAAAATTTATACTTCTTAAAAATAAGAGGATCTCCAGAAATTGCCTTTCTCTTTATTCCATTCACAATTCTAAGTATTAAGGGCCTTTCGTATACTTTCTGAAAATTAGAGAGTTTCTTCTTCCTAGGACTAGAGAAATGTAGTAAGGTTTATTGTCTTTTTAAGTTACTTGTTTTTATAAATAGTATTTGTAGGATGATATTTATTCTCTGAATTTCATCAGGCACATGGTCTTTGTCCTCCATCTTCTTCTAGAAAGTTCTAAATTTGTTTTATTTGGGGGGTTTGGGGCAGTAGGAATTGAACCCAGGGGAATTTACCATAGAGCTGCATCACCATTCCTTTTTATTTTTTATTTTAGCGTGAGAGTATAACTCAGTGGTAGAGTACTTGCCTGGATGTGTAAGGCCCTGGGTTTCATCCCCAGCACCATAAAAATAAAATAATTTTCTATCTTTGACTGTACTTTTCTTCTTTCTACAAAAGATTTAAGGAGACCTGAAGGACAGTAAAGACATCTCCAACTCACTGTCAAATAAAATAAAGTCACAGCACAAAATCCCAGTGGGAAAATTAGAAGCTCTAAATAAAATTCCATTAAATTATTTTTATTTAGTCAGGCCAAAAGAATGATGAGCAAAGCAGTTGCTGAACAAATTCAAGCAAGTTTTTCTTTTCTTTGGTGGGGGGGTATTGGGATTGAACCCAGGGGTGATTACCCACAGAGTCACATCCCCAGCCCTTATTTTTTGAGACAGGATCTCGCTAACTTGCTTAGGACCTCACAGTGCAGCCTCCCAAGTAACTAGAATTACAGGTATGCACCACCATGCCTGACAAATTTAAACTAGTTTTAAATTTAAAAGTAACTTATTGGGCTGGGGATACGCCTGGTATGCGTGCGGCCCGGGTTCGATCCTCAGCACCACATACAAACAAAGATGTTGTGTCTGCCGAAAACTAAAAAAAAATAAATATTAAAAATTCTCTCTCTCTTTAAAAAAAATTAATAAAAATAAAATAAAAGTAACTTATTAAAATGAAGTCACTTCTTCCTTTTTTATTTGGTACATATTGTTTCAGACTTCTTGGCAGAGACAGTTTGTGTTTACCTGGGCAGTATGAGGAAAAAAATCTTACCAAAAACATTGCTGGGTGCGGCAGCACACGCCTGTAATCCCAGCAGCTCAAGAGGCTAAGGCAGGAGGATCGCCAGTTCAAAGCCAGCCTCAGCAACTTAGCTAGGTGATAAGAAACTCAATGAGACCCTGTCTCTAAATAAAATACAAAAGAAAAGTGGGTGGGTGAGGCTCAGTGGTTAAGTGACCCTCAGTTCAATCCTTGGTACCAAAAAAACAACCACTGACCCTGTATCATAATTATGTGTGAAGCTTTTACATTAAAATTGACCTGTGGAGGTGGGAGGGGGCGGGGTTGTGGCTCAGTGGTAGAGCGCTTGCCTAGCATGCATGAGATACTGGGTTCGATTCCCCGGCACCATATATAAATAAACAAATAAAGTTATTGTGTCCGTTTACAACTAAAAAGATATTTTAAAAAAAATTTTTTTTTGACTTGTCATGGGGCTGGGGATTTGGCTCAGTTGGTAGAGTACTTGCCTCACATGCACAAGCCATGGGTTCAATCCCCAGCACCACAAAAAAAAAAATAATATAAAAAATAAAATTGAGCTGTCATACTTTCCGGTAATTTGTTATTGCAGCTACAGTTTATTATTTATTTTAATTTGATTCTATCACAGGCCAGATTTCACTGTTACATCTTAATATATAACCATCCAGATAAGTTTGTGTGGCTTTAGGCATCAGGAAAGAGAGTATGGATGAGTCATTGTAAATGTATCACCACCACTGGGAAGAGAACCTGGAATGCAAGTCTAGTAATGATTTAGAATGTCCACTTTTTCTTTGTTTTCATTAATATTGCTTAGCCACCACCTTTACACAAAATTAATTCAGATTAGAATCATTTTATTGTATTTCTTAGCATTGTGTAAAATTTTTTTTAAGTGAATTTTTGTTTTGTTTTGTTTTTGAGATCAGGGATTAAGCCCATAGGGGCTTACCCACTGACTCACATCCCCATCACTTTTTTATATTTTTTAGAGACAGGGTCTCGCTGAGTTGCTTAGGGCCTTGCTAAGTTGTTGAGGCTGGCTTTAAACTTGCCATCCTCCTGCCTCAGGCTCCCAAGATGCTGGGATTATAGACGTGTGCCACCATGCTGTTCGAATCCTTGATTTATTAAAAAAGTCATATATGGAGCCAGCCCCAGTTCACCTGCCTGTAATCCTAGGACAGTTACAGGAGATTGAGACAAGAGGATCACAAGTTTCGGGCCAGCCTAAAATTTTAAAAATTTGTCTCAAAAGGGTGGAGTTTGAAATGCCTCCTTGGGTTCAATCCCTAGTACCATTAAAAAAAAATATATATATATATAAAAGTACAGCTATGTAAAGTTACTCTAATACAACTAAGGAAAAATAAGTAACAATATAGAAATATTTGTGTTCAGGGCAGAGTTTAGTTCTGCAAGTTCATATTGATTGGTTTCAGTTTGTTTCTGTGTATGAGAATTTGGGCATTTTTATATGATGAGTGGTTGGGATTTCATCTGAAGGTAAGTTAGAGACTAGAGTGAAGGGAGAAGATAAATATAATTGGCATTATCAAGCTACCTACAGTGAAATAATATATCTTAATAAAATATTGCTGAAATACTATATATGTATGTAACTTACTATTTTCACTTTAAAAGTTTATTGATTTTATGGTTTAGGAATTTTAATTTCCTAGAAGGCAAGAATTATGTCCATATAAACTTTGATGTATATAATTTCTTATGATTCATATGTTGTTAACAATTTAATATTTCCATTTAAAAAGAAAGATACCTGTTTTAGGAAGTAGAACTGCTTCCTTTTTCTTTTACTCTGTGTTTTTGACTCACCTGGTTCTTTACTCTTATGTCAATGTATCCATAACATGCAGCATGTTATTGAGGTGTAGAATGCTCTAAATTCATCATTCTAAGTAAATGTTTTACGTCATTTTTTTTTTTTTTTAGTTGTAGATGGACACAATACCTTTATTTTGTTTATTTAATTTGTTTATGTGGTGCTGAGGATCGAACCCAGTGCCTTACATGTGCTAGGCAAGCGCTCTACCATTGAGCTACAACCCCAGCCCCTTAAGTCATTCTTGAATGGCTTTTTTTCTATAGAATTGCCTCAAATATCATATTAACAGATTATAGCACATATCACAGGTTTTCATCCTCATGTACTCTTTTTTTCTCAAATACCAGGCACACTTCCTTTAACACCAAAAGCATCCTCACTGACAGATCTTAAGAACTTTCTTAAATTTAGAGTAATTGTGAAAAGTATCTGATCATTTTTTATAAATCTTACAATTTCCTTAAACTTATTTGAAATTATTTGTATTTTGTAGAGTTCTGAACAAGAAACTAAAGGTCTTCCAAGTAAAAAGGGAATTGTACAGTCTATTGTTGGTCAAGGTTATCATCGTAAAATAGTTCTGGCATCACAGTCCATACAAAATACAGTATACAAGTAAGTATTTTGCAAAGTGTGCATACTTTTTTTGTGTGTGTGTGTGTGTGTGTGGTGCTGGGGATTGAACCCACAGCCTGTGCAAGCAAGGCAAGCACTCGACTCTATCAACTGAGCTATATTATCCCCAGCCCTGCAAAGTGTGCATACTTAATTTCATTTCATATAATGTATTTACATATAGAAGTATGCTTAGGACTTACCTATTTTATAGGAGGGACTACTTTGTAACTCAGTTTTATTGCTGTTTTAGTAAACAGCCCTCCAAACATAGATCCATAATGAATGTTCTCTAGCTTGTCATGATTTTGGTTTATTATATGCTTGCATGCTGAAACTGTTGATGCCTTAAGAAATTAGTCTATTCAGAGCAATTATTCAGACTATCCAGAAGAGGGCATCTTGGTATCTCTTTTTACATATGATCATTTCCATATCTGAAGGTAGGGGATTGGTTCCACGATGACTTTACATCTGTAAGTTCCTCATCCATGGATTCCACCAGTCACAGGTTGAAAATACTCATAAGAGGGCTGGGGATGTAGCTCAGTGGTAGAATGCTTGCCTTGCTCACCCAAGGCCATGGGTTGAATCCCCAGCATTGCAAAAGTAAAAGAAAATATTCAGTGGAAACTATTGCAACCATACTGATCAAGTCTAGTCTTTCTTGTCATTATCCCCAGACAATATAGTATAACAACTATTTGTGTAGCATTTATATTGTATTAGGTATCATAAGTACTCTAGAGATAATTTAAAGTATATGGGAGGATGTCTATAGGTTATTTGCAAATACCACACTATTTTACACTAATGACCTAAGCATGCACAGATTTTGGTATGTGGACTAGGCCCTGAAATCATTTCCTCATGAATACTGTATAGTTCTGGTTATCAGTGGTGCTTTTTTAGTTGTTTTTTGTTTTTTGTTTGTTTATCTGTGGTGTCATCCCCTCCCAACACCCATACTGGGAATTAAACCCAAAGTTCTCTACCACTGAGCAATATCCCCAGCCCTTTTGATTTTATTTTGAGCCAGATCTCTCTAAGTTGCCAAGGCTGGCCTCAAACCTGAGATCCTCCTGCCTCAGCCTCCTGAATTGCTGGGATTATAGGCATGCATCCTAGCCTCTGGTTCATTTAATCCTTAAGAATGTAAATACTGGGTTGGGGCTGTTGCTCAGTGGTAGAGTGCTTGCCTCACATGTATGAGTTTGACCCTCAACACCGCAGAAAAATAAATAAATAAAATAAAGGTATTGTGTCTATCTACCAAAAAAAAATCTATATATATATGAAAAAATACTTTTTGGGTACTGTGGCACATGCCTATAAACTCATCAACTTCAGAAACTGAAACAGGAAGATCAAAAATTCAAAGCCAGCCTCAGCAACTTAGTGAGACCCTGTCTCAAAAATAAAAAGGGCTGGAGATATGGCTCAGTGGTTAAAAGCCACTGGTTTGGGGCTGAGGTTGTGGCTCAGTGGTAGAGTGCTCACCTACCATTGTATGAGGCACTGGGTTCAATCCTCAGCACCACATAAAAATAAAATAAACACATGTGTCTACCTAAAAAAACTAAAAAATAAATATTTAAAAAATGCCCCTGGTTTAATCCCCAGTACTTCCCCCCCTCGAAAAAATATATATATGTATATATATAAACAAATACATTCAGGCAATGGGGCTATAGTTCAGTGGCAGAGCACTTAACTAGCAAGTACGAAGCCCTGGGTTCCATCCCTGACACTGAGAGGAAAAAAATACTTCAAAGCTAATTCCTAGTTTTAGGAGTATATACTAACAAACAAAGCAACCAAAGCAATATAGGAAGTTTCACCTGTGCAGCCTTCATTTGAACTACAGTGGCACATGCCTGTAATCCCTGTGGCTCCGGAGGCTAAAATAGGAAGATCACAAGTTCAAAGCCTGCCTTAACAAAAGCACTAAGCAACTCAGTGAGACCTTGTCTCCCTGTCTAAATAAAATACAAAATAGGACTTGGGACTTGGGGTGTGGCTGGCTCAGTGGTTGAGTGCCCCTGGATTTCATCCTTGGTATCAAAAAAAAGGAACTTGAGTAAAAGTTCCAATTTGGAGTTGCTATTATTTCTGAAGTAATTAGACTTTGCAAAAAATAAATGCATTTTTTTTTAACCGCTTTTAAAAAGTTTTTCCAGGACTGGCAGGAGGATTGAAAGTTTGAGGCCAACCTCAACATAAAATGAAAGGACTGGGGATGTAGCCCAGTGGTAAATCACCTCTGGATTTGATCCCTAAAGCCAAAAAAGGAAAGAAAAGAGGACAGAGTTTTCACTCACAGCTCATTGGTTTTATTCCTAATAATAGAAAAGTCTTATTTGTTTTTATGCTATGTACTTAGCTAATTTAGTTTTGTTCTTTTAAGTGATGGACAGTCTTCAGCCATTCCTGTAGCCAGTATGGAATTTGCAGCCATATGTCTCAGAAATGCCTTGTTGCTATTACCTGAAGAACAGCAAGATCCAAAGCAGGAAAATGGCTCTAAAAATAGTAGTCAATTAGGAGGGAACACAGAAAGCAATGAGAGCAGTGAAACTTGCAGGTACTGTAATCCCCGTTACCTCCCTTAGCAAAATATCTTCAGGATTTGTTTAGTTAGCCTCATTGTTCTTTAGGTCAATTCCCCAAATCTTCAGCCTGAATTTCCTGAATTCTCTTTTAAACCATAACAAAGGAGATTATGTTTCTAATATTTCTAGAAGAGAGAAAGGCTAAGTAGAACTCCTTAAAAGAGAAAATGGAAAGAAATAGCTGTTCGTTGACAGTGATATTTGTAAGAAGTACCATGGTTATCAGAACAGTAAATTTTTACATTAATTACAGTAAATACTTAAATTCTGAAATTTCTCATTTCTTTTTATCCTCTGACTCTTCTCTTAACATACTATAAGCCACTAACCACCAGAATATCTGTTCCTAGTTTTATAGTACAAGTTAAAAATTGTGCTACTATAGAAATTAAAAGAGCTTATCTAGTAGTAACAAACACTATTATATGAAGTTCTGCTTTATACACATAGTAACTTATCTCACATAATTATAATTTTAAATGATTTTTACAGAAAATTTGAAACAGAATTTTGAGATTTCTTTTTTACCCCATCAATGAGTTTGGTTCTGCTGTATTGATAAAAAACCAATCTGAAAATCAAAAATATGTGAAAATATTGAGTAATTACTTTTATATAGTATAGATGTTTTCAGGTAGAGATTTTTTTTTAAGTGTCATTGTGTACAAGGGAAAAGGAACCGATATATAGCATAGCTTTAACATATAACAAATTTTTTAAAATTCTTTTAAAAATTTCATACTAGCCAAGCAGAGTGGCATACGCCTATTATCCCAGCATCTCATGAAGCTGAGACAGGAGGATTTTGAGTTCAAACCAGCTTCAGCAATAGTAAAGTGCTAAGCAACTCAGTGAGACCCGGTCTCTTAAATTCAAAATAGGGCTGGGGATGTGGCTAAGTGGCCAAGTGCTCCTGAGTTCAATTCCTGATACAAAAAAAAATTTTAAAACACCAAAAACAAAAACCTCATACCAAATTTCTAAACATTTTCTATGTTTTGACTTTTATACTTTTTTATAACAACAGAAGTGGGGATAGGGAAACATCACATTTAGTTGTTTCTTTTCATAATCAAGAACCTGTCTTTATTTCAGCAGTAAAAGCCATGATGGAGACAAATTCATTGCAGCTCCACCTTCTTCTCCATTGAGGAAACAGGAATTAGAAAACTTAAAGTGAGTATCTAAACAAAATGAGTGTTCCATCTATGGAAACAAGCACATTTTTTTAGAACCTACTTTATTGCAGTTAAAATCATTAATTAAATTCCTTAAGGGTTAAACCAGATGCATGTTCTTAGGCTTTCCAGCCTCCTTGATGCACTGGCTTCTGACCTTTACTGTTTCTAATTTAACAGTCATTGTATAGAAAATGTCATTTTTCTGTCAAGATATATTTTTCAGGTGGGAGTGGTGTTGCAATTTGAGAGGCTGAGGCAGGAAGATCACAAATTCAAGACCTGTCTTAAAATAAAAAAACAAAAAAGGACTGGGGATGTAACTTAGTGGTAAAGTAGCCCATGGTTTAATCACCACTCCAAAAATATATATATATTTTTTTTTCCCTCTTTGTTATTTAACAGATAAAACTATTGTGTACCTAAGTGTGATTTTCTTTTGGGTTTTGATTATTTTGGATGGTCCTGGGGAACGAATCCAGATCCTCCATCATGGTAGTAGCCTCTACCACAGAGCCACATCCCTAGCCCTTGTTTTTAGTGTTTTATTTTGAGATAGGATCTCAATAAATTGCTGAGACTGGTCCTGAACTTTCAGTCTTCCTGCCTCCACTTCCTAAGTAGCTGGAATTATAGGCCTGTGCTAGGTACCTTTCCTTTGTTGTTGTTGTTGTTGTTTTGGTACTGGGATTGGAACCCAGACACTTCATCAGAAAGCTACATTGGTTTATTTTTATTTTTTTTAATTTTCAAGCAGTCTTGCTAAATGCAGAAGCTGACTTCAAATTTGAGATCAGACTCCCCATCCCTGGAATTACAGGGTTATGCCACCACACCCTGCTTTTTCTTTGGTTTTTAAACTTGTTTAGGATTAGCTAATTTCCTTAAATATGCAAATTTATCTTTCAACAACTTGGAATTTTTAAAAAATTTTTTATATTATTTTTGAAGCCAATCATAATACATAGCAGCATTTTTGTAAAAAGACAAGTCAAGTTGGGCGAGGTGACACATCTGTAATCCCAGTGACTGGAGAGGCTGAGGCAGAGGGTTCACATTCAAGACCAGCCTCAGTAACTTAGACCCTAAGCAATTTAGCCAAGACTGTCTCAAAATAAAAAATGATTGAGTTGGGAGCTGGGTGTAGTAGCACACACCTGTGATCACAGCAGCTCAGGAGGCTAAGACAGGATTGTGAGTTCAAAGCCAGTCTCCACAATTTAGTGAGGCCCTAAGCAACTCAGAAAGACCCTGTTTCTATGGGCTGGGGATGTGGCTCAAGCCGTAGCACACTCGCCTGCCATGCCCGGGTTCGATCCTCAGCACCACATACAAACAAAGATGTTGTGTCCGCCGAAAACTAAAAAAAATAAATATTAAAATTCTCTAAAAAAAACAAAAAAGAAAAGAAAGACCCCGTCTCTAAATAAAATATTTTTAAAAAGGACTGGGGATATGAATGGTACACAGCCCGTGGATTCAGTCTCTAATACCGTAAAAAAAAAAAAAAAAAAATTAGCTGGGGCTGTAGCTCAGTGATAAAGCACCCTGGATTCAATCCCCAGTACCAAAAAGGAAAAGGTTTTTTTAAAAAAAAAAAAAGGCAAAATTACAACAAATTTAGTTAATTTTTTTTCTAATTCTAGAATTAGTCAACATCTCATTCTACAAAATAGAGTGTTCCCATGATCCAAGCAAGGGAGATTGGTTTATAGATGGAAAAGGACTAAGGAAAGCAGAAATAGAAAATAAAAAGCAAATTGGTTGTTTCAAAGTTACTTTTTTGTAAAGGTTAAAACAGAGGGGAGTTGGAGGTGTATCTTAGTGGTAATATTTACCTAGCATGCAAGAGGCTCAGGGGTTCCCTCCCGGCACCACCAAAAAAAAAAATAAGACCAGGGTCTCACTTAAATTGTTCAGGCTAGCCTCAAACTTGCAGTCCTCCTGCCTCATCCTCCTGCACTTCTGGGATTACAGGTTGAATTTTTACTTCTTATATGAGTTATAAGATAGCAAGGAAATGGGGCCTGGGAAGGTAGAGCACCTATCCAGCATGGGCAAGACCTTGGGTTCAATTCCTGGCACTAAAAAAAAAAAAAAAAAAAAATGAGCTAGGCACGATAGTACATGCATGCCTATAATCCCAGCAGTTGGGGAGGTTGAGACAGGAAGATCACAAGTTCAAAGCTTATTGAGGCTCTAAGCAACTTAGTGTGAGACCCTGTCTCTAAAAAGGAGGGCGAGGGGGTGCTGTGGATATGGCTCACTATTTGATTAACCCTGGGTTCAATTCCTAGTACCAAAAAAAGAAAGAAATTTAAAATACTGTGACAAATTACCAGTAAAATAGTGACAAAAATATATATATACAGTAGAACAATGTTGTTTGTGAGTGAAATATGATTGATTTTAAAAAGCAGTCAAATTTCTTCTGTATAAATTCATGGGGCTGGGGATGTGGCTCAAGCGGTAGCGTGCTCGCCTGGCATGCGTGCGGCCCAGGTTCGATCCTCAGCACCACATACAAACAAAGATGTTGTGTCCACCGAAAACTAAAATAAATAAATGAATTAAAAAAAAAAAAGAAGAAGCTGCTAAACTATCTTTGAAAGTG